GATCTTGGTGAACTGTGAAAATGCTTTGTTGGACCCACCCTGAAATGTGAATGGAAAGGGGGCTCATTTTGTGATTTCAGTGGGCTTGAGGGTGGTTTTGGAGAGGCCTTCACAGTGAAATACTATTGGCTTGCTTGGGTCTTAACCTATTTTTCCATGGCACAGTTTCATGAGGGTGAGACAACTGACGAGCTGAGACTTCTGCTTTTCTGTGAGGTTCTGTCTTGTTTTTCCCCCGCATCCGCCCATACAATCCCAAGGCTGTTTGTCCATGTCATCTACATCCTTCTTGCAGAAGATGCTGCTGCATGCACATCAGAAACAGCTTTTGAGCTCTCTTGCTCTGGTAGTGGAAACCAGCCAGCCGCAGTAGATGGTGCGCTTATGGTGCAGGGCTGCTTATCGCAAAGATGAGATTGCAAATGCTTGCAGTGCTTGGTTTTATCCAAGTACCTCCACCCTAATCTCTGATGTGCTGCAACAAAAAGAGTAAGTGCATGGTCAGGTCCAATTTGACACTGCCCTGTTGGTTTAGCCCACCCTGGCACTCAAAACATGCCAAGCATAGGGGCAAGTCAGGTCTCCAAACTCTGTGGTCAACAAAGACTTGTGTCTTCCTCTCTTGGACCTTGGTCCCTGGAGTTCCAAGTTAAGCTTGATGAGTTGCTCCTGTAGGGTATGTTCTCCAACCCTCTTTGAAGTCAGCTGTATGATAGGACATTTAATAATATCCTCTGCTATCCACCATGAAGATGCTGCCCAAATGCCAGCGGAAGTGTTACCGGAGCAGGGCATTGTGGTGGGATCTTCAGAAAACCTCCCCTGGGCCTGTTGCTGCAGGAACATCTGTACCTGCATCCAGCTCTCACTAGCTGAAATGTCACCTCAAACTGCTTCTCTGAAGGTTACTGAAATTACCTGCTTTCATCCTGCAACATGGAGCACACAGCTTGTGTTAGAGGTCCTATGCAAGCATCCAGTGTTCCTCTAACACACGTCTGTCCCACACACTTTCAGAGCTGGATTATACACTGAGTTCACTGTCCTGGTGCCTATTGCCTTCTTCACAAAGGCTTGCTTGAGTCTCACAGGAAGACTTCTGCATAAAATACGTTTACTCAAAACTTAATGGCCATAAACTAAAACGCAATAAGTTTCACCTCAACATAAGGAAGAATATCTTTAAGTTGAGGGTAACAGAGCACTGGAACAGGAGGTTGTGGAGTCTCCCTCTCTGGAGATACTCAAAATCTTCCTGGACACGTTGCTGTGTAACCTGCTCTAGGCAGCCCTGCCTTGACAGGGGGTTTGGACTTGATGATCTGCAGAGGTCCCTTCCAACCCTAATGATTCTTATCAGCAGCTAAGCTGGACTATTTTTTGATGAAACATTTTAAGTGTATGGAAAAACTTTGTGTTGCCTTAAATCTTTTTTGTTCTGTTTTGGTATTTTTTAACCTGAGTAAAGTTGAGGAAACAAGCTTCCCCACTCTCCGTTATTACATATAAACCAACATTTTTAGATGTGAAGAACTGCAAGTTCTCAAAAGGAAATTTTCATGCTTTTCCGAGTTACTTTTTTCCCTCAGTGCTCTTTTCCACTGGAAAGAAGAAAACAAAAAAATCTGGGAGAACTACTATCAGCTTTCTCTTTTTTATTGTGAAACTAATTTTAAAAAGCATTAATCAGAAGCAGAAACACTGTGGAACAATTTACGTTCAACTCAGCCATATACATTCAACTCAGCCACATATGTTCAACTCAGCCACCTTTTTTGGAAGAAAAAGATTACTTTAAAAGAAATAAGAAAGCTCCATCAGCTGCGGGCTGGGAGCTCGGCAGCAGCTCTCCACATCTGACAACATTTGTCTGCAGTACTATTTTGGGAGTTTGTAAACCAGCTGCCGGCATGAAGGATGGTCGCGTTGGCTGCCAAAGGCTGCAGAGGCAACCTGGAGAGTGTGACCAGTGGATTTCATAGGGACTGTGAATAGCCAGAGCTGTGCTAATGACTTCTGCGTATGGGTGGGAGCAGGTGGCCTCTGGGGGAGGTTTTTCTCTGGTTCCATTTCTCACCCATGCTGGGACTTGTCGTCCATGATTCTGTGCCGCTTTGCATGGATGTGTCTTAGACACAAGTGTGTGGGGTGAAAGCTCAGCTTGTGTAAGCATGCAGAGAGGTGTTTCCAGACTCAGCATGGTGCAGAAAGGGTTGCAGTGTCCTCATGGACACAGGAGAGCTGTGGGGACAGTGGTGAAGCACGGGAACAGGTTGCCCAAGGAAGTTATGAATGCTCCAGTCCTGGCAGTGTTCAAGGCCAGGTTGGACTGGGCTTGGAGCAGCCTGGTCTGGTGGAAGGTGCCCTACCTGTTGCAGGGGGGTTGGAACTTGATGATCTCAAGGTCCTTGCCAACCCTAACAGTTCTATGATTCTATGAGATGCCTAGGTTAGGACATGGTCCCCACTCCTCTCAAACCCTGTCAGAGGAACTGGGATGGCCACAGACCCCTGGTGGGACTTGCTGAGGTTGACCTTCCTCCATGTCCTTTCCCATTCTGCCCCACGAAGGCTGTAACTGGGAGCAACACAAACCCCCAAAACATTCACCTATCATCACGTATATGGTCCATCTGTCCTCTCATAAGATCATCCTCACGACATGACTGATGGTCAAAACGTATTGTTGACTTGTGCTATACGTCAGATCTTCTAACTCTGCCGAAAAGACAGCAATTGCCAAATCTGTATCTCCCTTGCCTTGACTTAAAATGATACCTTTCAGTTCCCTGGGTGGAAAGGGAACTCCAAATATTCTCACTATCCTGGCAAATAACACCATTCAGAATCAGAAATCCCGGTGAAAGGGTATCTTCTACCAATTTGCAAGTGAAAGAGCGGGAAAAGCTCACGTACTTAATGAATCACGTGCCATTGCATGACAACTGGGTTTTCTAAGTAAAGCAAACCCTGGTTGCAACCTGTAAGGGACGCTGCCAAATTAAAATTAACTTGCTGCAGGAAATGCTGTGGCTGATTCAGTGGGGGTAACTTCCCCTCCGACTTTAGTGCCCAGAGTGGTGCTGAGACCTGGGTATACATGGTTGGGCCATCTGTAAACTCAGGTTAAAGAAAAGCTCAGAGAAGTTTGGATGCTGAAAACCTTTCTATTGGGGGTGGGGGGAATGTGTACTGGGTTATCCTGGAATATTTCATAGAATCATAGAATCATAGAATAGTGAGGGTTGTAAAGGACCTTAAGATCATCTATTTCCATCCCCCCTGCCATGGGCAGGGACACCTCACACCAAACCGTGTCACTCAAGGCTCTGTCCAACCTGGCCTTGAACAGTGACAGGGATGGAGCATTCATAACTTCCCTGGGCAGAAATATTTCACCAATTCCTCCCAGTTTGCTCACTTTGCCAGTGAAAATGAAAATAAGACAGAAGGGAGAAGATAATTTCAAAAAAATACACTTCAAAATATATATATAGAAACCTCATTTCGGAGTCCCAGTTTTTGAAATATTAGATAATGTGCTAGAAAGGAAAAAAGTTGCTTTTACAGGAATATTTTTTCCCACAAGTCTGGCTTGCTGGAACCTTTTTTGAACACATCTATTGGAGTTTGACTATAACAACACAGTGTCAGGCTGGCATTTGGGGGAACTGACTAACCATATTGATCCCTGGACCTCCAGTCCTGGATTCTCCATGTTCATTGCAGACTTTCAGGTAATTTGGCAAGAATAAGAGCCAACGAGTTTTTGTTCAGCTACAAGTACTCAGGCTTCAGACATGTAGCCCACACCTTTCAATGCCTTTGGTTCAAAGAAGGGTCTGGTGCAGACTTTAGTGCTGGTGGTGTAGATACCTCATATACTCATGGCAACAGCACTTAAGTACTGCTGGCTTCAACTGTTCCCTACTTTTTCAGGTGGCAGAATAGGCTGAGTTTTCCATGGTTTGGCTATCTATCTTGACTATCCAGACCCAGTATTATGTCAGAATTATTGACCAGAGCTGAAATCACATTTCTGGGCTGCAATTTAAATGATCCCTCAAGCATGAGTGTGGAAATCTTAGTGCGGACCAGAGGATTGTCCATGGAAAGGGTTTGATTCATTTGTGCCTAGTGATCCTTGAAGTGTCCAGCAGGCCTGAGACACTCACATGGGGTTGGGAAACATAATCCACGATGTATGGGAGACCTACATCTTATAAGAACCCAGGGCACATCAAAAGGTACTAGAGCGTTGCATGTGGATGACTGAGTCAAGCCCTAGGCCCACACTTTACAGGCAGGATGGATACAAGTTACACCACATTTGACTCCCTAAGCTTCTTGCAGTCCTCCAATGTATTGCATAAAGTCCCACGCCTTCATAGACAAGCTGAGTCTGCGTCTGTGCTGCTTAAGCATGAGGAACGGCAGGATGGTACTATGTAGATAGCTACCACGTCTGTGTGCTGCTCTTGCTGTATGGGAACGACATGATGCATGGAAAGCATGAGCAGCACGAGTATGACTTGTTCCAGGGTCTGTGTGACCCTCCTGAAGAACTGGTACACATGAACTGCACAGGAATATGCCCCAGGTTCGCCAGCACCACCTCTTCGACCCTCCAGCAGTGCCTGCATGTGGCGTCACTCAGTTCTGGAGCAAGTCTGCTCAATGAGAGATGGAGATCTCTGCATTGGAGAGGGGACATACTCAAAGCAGTCGTTTGTTCCAGTTTCTTTCTGGTGACCTATAGTGTCTGTCTGAGCCTCACCTGCAAAGTGTGAAACACCAGAGTTGCGCAGTAACACAAACACAAGTTCCAATGTAGTAGGAGGACCGTTGACAGGATGATTTTAGACTCTTCATTGCCTGATTTCCCTGACTTCTCATCTCCAACTTGTTCTTCATGAATAAGAATATGGTTTTGCCCCTTAGTGCCTGCCTCTTTCCCAGGAGCAGTCTCATTGAAAAGCAATTTCTGGTCTTCCTTCCAGGATGGGGTTGCTCGGGAGCAAAAATCAGTTGATGTCCAATGAAAAACATGCCTCTGGAAGCAACCCCAAAAGCAAGAGTAAATCTTCTGCGCCACCCAAGGTAAGCCTGCAGTTTTGTGTCCTTTTTGATCCTCCACAGGTTCACTTAGTGTCTGGAGTGATGCAGGCAGTATTTGTGCGTGCCAGCAGGAACTTGAGTACTTCTATGTCCTAAAATTTGGTCACCAACTGGGAATGTCATCCAAAGGGCAGAAAACAGATCTTTATGCCTGGCTTCCTCCTAAGAGCTTCTTAATATGGGATGAACTATCCAGCCGAGCCTTTCTCACTCTGGGTTTTTACTCTGTCAAAAAGGATGCCATTTTCTGTTTGGGGATATGCTGCTGCCATGAGTTGTCTGCGTGGGCTAGGGATGGTGGTGGTCTGAAAGAGTATGTCATGTTAAACCTGGCACTACTATTTGTGTGGGCTGGACTGGAGTGCAGGGCAGGAGACAGCGAGAGAAGGTGCAGTGTGTTCTGCATCCCTTGGTCACAAGTCCATAAAGTTGAGCCCCATATCTTTTAAACAGTGCCCTCAGCACTCTGCAGCCCAGGCTGATGTTGCTGACTTGCAAACAGCACAAAGATGGGTCAGATTCAAGCTAAGATTCAAAGCTGCAAACCGCAATGGAAACTTTACCATCAGGGGGGACAACAGGTTCTCTAAAGTGGTTCTACAGCTAATCTGTGTTGGGGTGGGCTGAGAATGAGAAATGCTGAGGATCTGCTGCTCCCTTTGAATCCATGTGGCCTCTGCTTGCATGGGCACAGATCAGGAAGGCACCAGGTCAGGATTTAGGAGATTTCAAATTGCAAACTCTTTGTTTAAACTTTGGAAATTATTTTATCTATGTCTGTTGCTGTATAGAAGACATCAAGTTGTTCTTAATTGCCCTTGTCAGCACTGCATCCAGCAGCCAGCATAAAAGGTGCAGGTGTCATGTGAAAACGTTCTTGGGTCTTGAGCTCTGAGAGGGGGAGGAATTGCCTATAATTTCTTTTGATGGCAGGTGGAGATGTTTTTCACTCCTTTAGCTTAGTTCCCAAGTTCTCCCATGGTTATGAAGTCCAGTTTTCATGACAGCAGATGTCAGATTGAACAAGAAGATGTTCTTTTCCTTCATTTCCTTCTCTCCAGCCCACTGGAGAGAGGAACTGCTCTCAGTGTAAATACAGTATCATCAATCACCTTCTGATACTCATTTTTTTTTGCCACAGGAACTAAGCTCTCACATGTCAGGGGAAGTCCATATTTCTTTCAGTTAAATTAGAAAGGGCAGTGGGTGAGCAGCTCTCCCACTGCACACTGCTGTTAAGTATGAGCCCAGCAGTGGTGTGGACAGGAAATACTTGATACTTCTAATTCAGCATCTGTAGTTCACTCCTTTTGCACATGTACAAAAATACTGTTAGTGGTCAAACGCCCACTCTAGTCACTAGGTCCTGATCACAGGACTGGTGTTTGAAGTTGAGTAGAGAGGCAAATGGAGCCCACCGAGCCATTTGCACAATAAATCTCTTAGCCCACAAAACAAGGTGGTTGTATCCCAGCTGTTGATTAAGAGTGGTCTATGGTCAACTGGCCACTCTCAGGGTCTGGGCCAAGCCAGACTAAGGATCATGTCAGCATTTTAAGGGTGTGCCCAGATGAGTTGCAGTAACTTGCTGCTGTTTAATTTGCCAATATGGTCACTGCCTCCGTTTTTTGAACATATCCCTGAGCAAAGGATATTCCACAATCCCTGGGACAATTATGGCAAAGAATATCCCCAGTTTTCTGCTTCAAATAATATTACAATGGTCATTTCTCAACAAGATCACTCATGTCTCATTGCCCATTGATCTGAAATCTGGCATGAGGAGATAAAAAGAGTTAGATAGACCATGGTCCAAATGAGCGGATAGCAGATTTATTCCTTTATTTGGAGGGAAGCCAAGGATTATTCAAGCTGACAGTTAAGATGTTGAAGAATATGTCAAGGTAAAATATGCTAAAGCCATCACGACACATACACAGCCAGGAGCAGGAGCTGTTGATTGACTACAGAGGGCTCTGGTTCAGACTCCTGCTCATCTGTGAAGCTGAGAGCAGGTCTTCCTGCAAACACAGCGAAGTAATAAATGTTTTTTCTCTTTCTATTTCTACCTAAGGGCAGACAAATTATCAGCATCCCCCATCTAAACCAAGCCTCTGTACAAGGTAAGACTCTTAGCTCTGTTACTGTTTTCTTTGCCTTCCCGTGGGGGTTTGCAAGGTGGTGGTCCCCCAGCAGCAAGTCTTGAGAACAAGCCGTCATGTCTCAGGCGTGTGGTTTCTGTATCTTTAGCATTGCCAGGCGGGGAGTTTATCAGTGTGCCTTGGAAGATTTAGTTTACATCACTGACTGTTTGTAGCTGCCAGTTTCCCCTGCTCATAAAAGAAATTAAGAGGGAAAAGCACTCCTTCACCGGTTGAGCAAAGTGAGATCTGAGACATCGACTGCATGAGATTTCTCTGTCTGCTGCCCTGTCTGCAGTGTGACAACTTCTGGATGCTGTATCCAGCCAGCTGAAAATTTCAGAGGAAACAGCAGGCATCAGAAAACCCAGAGAGACTACAAAGAGAACAAGAAGAAATGAAAGAGTATAAAATAAGGATGCGCAGAGCCCCTGCTTGGAGACTGCTGGCTTCTTCTACCTCTGCAATTATCTGCAGGTCGCAGATGGTGGTTGGTAGATGATTGCCTTTTAGCAGGAAAACCTCTGCTACCTCTGCCCAGCCTCTGACAACAACTTGTATACGTTTCTGTTTAAAGACATTTTGCAGATTAAGGACAGAGAGAGAAAATTAGAAGCAGGCAAAAAATAGAGGAAGCTTGGAAGAAAGGAGTTAGCAACACATGGCTATTCCTTATGAGGCAAAAGTGTAGTTTAAGGGAGACAGGGTATGAATAAAGGATGATGAGGGAGTTTCTACTGTGGGGCAGACAGAGGAACTCCTGCAAAGTCAGAATGCTTTTCAGAACTGACATTTGTTATGGGACCAGATTTCTGGGAGGTGTAGCTCCTCAACCATGTGAATGAGGTATGTTTCCATGGGAGTTCCATCTTTTTTGAGAAACCATGCTTTCTTTTTCAAAGTTGTTTTCATGACACGATGACACATTCCTAAGCAGTTGTGCTCTCCTGCCTCCACAACTGGGCGGGCACTGACAGTTTTTAACAGGGTTTTTATCAACCTCCTCCCTCTGGTGGGAAGTACAAGAGAAGGCGACTTTTACTTCTGCCTCATGCCAGAAGGCAGAAGTGGAAAGATTCTATAAAATGCATAAAGCACCATGTTAGCCATTTTCAGCTCTCAAAAATATTTTGGTTTGTAAGGTTCAGTTCCAGTTTTGGAGGAATATTCACACTGACAGGCTCGGGCACTTCTTATTTTTCTCTACCAGTGCCTGAGCTTACAGAAATGATGCTTGCTATATCTGATTCTGTCCTCTGTGGCAAAATGGGCTGATAGGAACCATGAAAGATATTTGAGATATCTGACATATTCTCAAGAAAGAAGGAAATCCAATTGAGTTGATAGAGAAAGCACAAAATCCAGACAATCCAATCATACAGAAAAGTTGAAAAGCTGAATTAAATTTTGTGGGAGCAGTTCAAATTCAATCAGGCAAAATTATTGACTATGGAAGTGTGGCATGGAATCTAAAATCAAAACCTTCTTTTTCCCTTGTTTCTTTTTGTTGTTAGGTGGTGGTGGGTTGCTTTTCTTTTTTCTCTGAATTCTTGGCATTTTGATATTTATTTTTTTTTGCTTATCTCAGTGTCATGCAACTTGTTTCACAGTTTCAAATTTTCACACCACCGTCTCAGAAATCATGTATTTCTTTTATATTAGCCTAACAAAAGCCTAATTCTTCCTGATGTTATTTATCTTAATAGAAATAACACAAAGGCAGACAAGGAGTGCCAACCTCTGGACTCAACTGCAGTGTTGGCAGCATTACCAATCCACTTTCCACTTGGGGTGGGTTCTTCCATCCTGCGAGTCTCTCATTCATTTTAACATGGTTCCCTAAGCACTTGTGATGTGTTTACAGTCAGTTCTATATCTGTATAGAGTCAAAACTTCTGTTTAATTCTGCACCTCTAAGGCCCCCAGTACGGCAAAGTCCTGTCCCAGGATGGTGGTCCCCAAACCCAACAGCTCCAGTGCTACAGCTGCTGCTGTTCCCTTGCATTGGGTAGATAAGACATAGCAGATAGGTAGAATAACCCCTGCCCTTGCCTTGCAGCTGCTCACAGCTGGATTTCAGTACTACTGACACAGAGAGTTGGTTGGTTTTGGTGCTTGTCCTCAGGCATTATAATAAGCTGCGACAGCACAGAGAATTGGTCTCTTTGCAAGGTCATTTCTTCTCATTGAGAGACTGCACTTCTACCTCTTCCCTTGATTTCGGCTAACCATAATATGAATAGGACTGATTTTCAGGGGGTGGGAGCTTAGCATGCTCTTGAAATTGAAGTCTTTTGAGGCATCTCAAGATTATCATCGAAGCTCTTAGTCTTTTATATTGCTGTTCTCTGGGTATGGATTTGAGTTTGAAAGGAATGTTGTCATAAATGTGGTTTTGAGCTTAATTGGGAAAAGGAGGGATTGGTTCACTGAAAAGGCTGACTATCAATGAGAAATTAAAAGTTCATAAAAAGTGGTCACTTCCAATCAAAAGCAAGAGAGGGAAGAAAATGAGAGGGAATTGCCCAAAATATTCAGATTTTCTAATAAAAATGTTATGAGTTTAGGTCTGATACAATCAGCTGTTGGCATAATCTACCCCAGGGAAGTGGTGGACTCCCCAGCATTGGACACTGTTAAGATTCGGCTGGACAGGGTGCTGGGACATCTAGTCTAGGTCATGCATTGCCCAGAAAGGTTGGACCAGATGATCCTTGAAGTTCCCTCCAACTTGGGATTCTGGGATTCAATGATTTTATATAAAAACCAGAAATTATCTGCAAAAACATTCACTGTGTCAAAACACATGGCAGAAAAACTTTTGCAGTGAAAGTCTGGATGTCCCAGGAGACATCTCCCATGCTGTCACCCCTGGGCTTGTGGACCAGCTGGGAGATGCAATATTTGTTGTCATTTACCCCGTGACCATCATAGCATGGCTCAAAACCACCTAATGGCCCTTTGGGGGACCCCAGCACAGTCTCAGCCTGCTCCGTAGCCATGAGACATTTCAAAGACCTTCCATTCACGACGGGGCAGAAGACTGGTTGAATCATTTCTATTAAGCCATCAAACTGGCACTCAGCCTATGCAAACCGGGCTAGTATCTAACTTTCTTGACAGCAGCTCTGAGCCAAGAGGTATTTGGCTCACAATCAAAGTCTCCGGGCTGCTAGCATTATCTGCAAAGCAGTCACTCCTTGCAGCCCCGACGGCTTCTCTACTGTAGAGTCACTCATGACCTAACTTGATTAAATAGGCCAAGAAAGTATTATCAATGCTGTTTCTTAGTGAGGTGACAAACTCAGAGACAGGAAGAGTTGCTTTCATCATGAGATGGCAAGTCTTGCTGGCTTGAGCAGAGAGAGCTTTTTTTCTGGCTCACTTAAGTGTGCACTGTTTCTCAGCGTGTATTTTGAGCAGGGGATAAGAGGTGATCACAGTATGTTTTCAACATATAAAACCTTTTCGTCCTTACTGTATTTGCTCTTTCTCCTCCTCTTCGTTTTGTTTATATGTACTTTTGTCAGTTGCTTCAAGATCAAAACTACATTTTTCATTTCATCTCTTGGGATACGCAGCCGTTCTGTGCTTGAAGATATTTACACATTTGCTTCTGTTTTTCAAAGCAGAAGTGTGACCACTGTATTAGTTTATTTTCAAGAGGAGCAGGACGGTGCATGTGGATGAGCATGTTTGCTGTGAACACTTTGCAGAAGGCACATGTCCAAAACCCTTCCACGTCAGAGAAGCTGTGTGATAAGAACATTCTCAAGGAGGCAATGAGAGTTTGAGCCCATTGCTAATGTGAAACTCTCTGAGATCCCTTAAGGGGAAGCCCCCAGCTGTGCAACCTATTTTAAGACTTCAAAGCATGATCATCCTTTTCCCCATGCACAGGGGAGAGTGAGGCTCTGCTGAAACCTCTCAAGGATCTCCAAGTTCCTCCTGAAGGGAACCACTCAGGGCTTTGGTTTACAAAGCTACATTTCCTCTCACACTGACCCTTTCTCCTCCCTCCTCTCCAATAAATCGCCAGCAGAGCAGCAGCCAGGCCTTGCACACACAAAACCCAAGCTGCCCCAGAGACATGTTATCTGTGATGACAAAAGGCCAGTCTGGCACTCTTGCTGGTGGCATTATTTGAAAAGGTCACACAGAGACTGTGGCTTGACAGTCAGTTTTGAAAAATGCTAATAATTCATTGCTCTCGCTGCATTAATCAGGCTCTGTATGAGCTAAAGACTTTCTGCAGCAAATGGCCTCCTTTTCTTTATACTGTTCTTTCTATTTTTTCTTTTCCTTTTTTTTTTCTCTTTTTGTTTTTTCTCTTTTCTCTTTTTTCTTTTTCTTTTCACTTTTCTTTCTGTTTTTTCTCTTTGTCTTTTTTCTTTTCCTTTTTTACTTTTATTTTTATTTTTACTTTTATTTTTATTTCTTTTTTCTTTTTTCTTCATTTTTCTATTTTCTTTTTTCTATTTCTTTTTCTTTTCATTTTTCCTTTTTCTTTTTTCTTTTTCCTTTTTTCTTTTTCTTTTTCCTTTTTCTTTTTCTTTTTATATGTTTCTTTTCCTTTTCCTTTTCTTTTTTTTTATTTTTCTTTTAATCTTCCTTTTCTCCTTTTTCTCCTCATCTTCCTCTTCCTTCTTCTTTTTTTACCATTGCTTTTGGCTTGATTTCTGTGCTCATGTGCACGTGCCAATCCTCTTTATAAAGTCTGATCTGTCCCAAAATAGCTGCTTATTTCTGCTTCAGTAGCTGTGAGCATGCAGAGCACATGTGAACAGTTGCACAACGTCTCCAAGAGCAGCACTGGCACAACCCCGGCATGCAAATGTAGCAATGCAGCTCCAGCCCACAGAAATCTTCCCTGGGGTGGGTTTGCATGTACCAGGCAGCAGCTTTGCCACACACAGCAAGGCTCATGTGCACCACAGAGACAAAGTCCATTTTGCTATGCCAAAATTCAGGATCACCCAATATGGCTGGAATAAAAGTAACATGGTAGGGGATGGAGATGCACGCTTGCTCACAGCCTTGGTCCAGGTGGGTTACAAGTGAAATGGGAGACACAGAGCACTGGTTTTGTGGTCTGGAGCGTCTGTGCATTGGGGCCAGGGAGAGAGAAGGGGATCCTGGAGCATCTGCCACCCCTGTGGGAATTTCGGCTGAGCAGAACAGCTACGTGTCACAGTGGTGCTGGGTCAAAAGCAGCAGCGTGACTTAAATGTGGTGGCACACCTGCAAGGGATGTAAAGGGATGGCAGGATACAGGCAGAGTCTAGAGCAGCTGGAAGGTGAGTTAAATCCTAGCGATGGGCTCAAATAACAGAGGCTGAGATGACTTTATACCTTTTTCAATCAAGAAAGCCTCATCTTTTTGAGTCAAATTCCAGAGCCACTCTGGGAAATGTTACTACAGCAGTATTCACTTACAGCCATGTAAAACTCAAGCCAAACACTGACAGGTTATATATGACCCTTCTTATTCCACAAAAACCTTTTTTTCTTGTTGACACACTGGGTTCTGTGGATAGAAGCATCTGGAGAGCTTTAAAAAAACATGCACAGGAAACACTTTGGTGAATCAGTGTTAGTCCCTGAGCAGAAGCTGTGGCTGGCCGGAAAGGTGGTGTGGTGGAAAGCTTGGCTTTTGGGGGGACAGGGCAGGGGACAGCCCCTTGTCTGTGTGTGGGTGAAATGCCCACCTGGGTGTGTATCACCCATCTGGCAGGGAATTCAACAGTGCTAGGTTCGATGATGCTCCTGGTTCTTTTAGATAACCTGATTGTGATCGCACTGTATGATTTTCCTGCCTCAAGTGATCGTGACCTGCAGCTGGTCAAGGGGGAGAAACTCCAAGTCCTCTCCAAGTAAGTGATCTACTGCCAGAGGGAGGTTCATACATGGGCATGGCGAGGCTAGGGAAGGGGGTACCTTGGGGTCAGACATCAGTTTGAGCTCACCAAAACTGAACGTGAGTCGTATTTTCGCTCCAGAGTGTGACTATGGGTACCCTTTTCTCTCTGCAAGGTGGGGAAGGTGACACTTCCATGGGTTACAGATACTATGGGGTTGGGCGGTGTCCCTGCCTGGGACTTTGGGACCTTCTTCACTGCTGTGTCCATGAGCGCAGAAGTAGCACAAATTACAGCAATAACCTAGCTCCTATTTCATATTTTGTGCTGATGGTGCTTTTGCAAAGGATGTGGGTTGGGTGTAGTCAGAGGAAAGGACAGAATCGAGCCAGAGAGACGTGTGGTTTCATTTCGGCTTCTTCTCAAGTGGGAAGGGGGACAGACAGTCCATCTGGCTGGACCATAACAGGGCAGAGGTGGGCTTGGGTCTCCCAGTCAACAGACCCTGCTCCATCCTTTACTGCTTTGTGAGGTGGCCTCCAGAGGAGACAGTTCTCAAACAGATGCTGTATGCAGTGCAGTATCCAGCAGAAAAAGAAGCAAAAAAAGAATCCCTCTATGCAAGACACAAAATAACCCCATGATGACCCAGATTTCTCTCCTCTTACATGGGGCACGTAGCAGAGGTTTGAATCTGTGGTCACTCTTTGTTCACTCTGCATTCATGGAAAGAGTCTGTCACCTCCTGAAGTCCCTGAGAGACCAACAGCCTTCAGCCTGCTGTTGGTCATAGGAAATTGCAAGAGACCTGTACTGTGGATTAAGGAGCCCTAGCTTATTTGTAGTGCTCGAAATCCCATAAACCATGCTGTCACCACAGCCTTAGCTTGTCGTGAAACCTCCTCTGGGCACTCAAGCTTTTTCTCCTGCTTGCTTTGCAGTGAAGGGGACTGGTGGCTGGCAAAATCCCTCAGCAGCGGCAGGAAAGGCTACATCCCCAGTAACTTTGTCGCGCAAGTGGACAGCTTAGAAGAGGAAAAGTAAGTGCAAAAGCTTATGAATGGTTAACACCGATGCAGTGCCCTGTCTCTCAGCAAGAAAAGGGAACAGCTTTACTTGACGTTGGGAAGATGTCACTGCTGGGCTGGATGGCAAGATGCTGCTCAGAAGTTCAGGAGAAGCTTTAAGCACCATATGGGTGCAGGGCAGGAGGGAAGTGAAGTCTCTATGGGAGAAGTGAGCAAAGACTCCTGTCCCATTAATTGCACCCACCATGGAAAACAAGGGTTTGGAGGAAGAACATAAAGGTTATATTTGCGCTGGTAAATTAGCAGTTCCAGGAAACATCCTCTGGTCCCACTGGGCCAGTCTACCCATACACAGTGTTAAACTTCCTCAGCCTCTAAAAGGACATCTGCATGTAAATTAGAAATCCCTTGTGAGAAGGTGCACTGATCCAGGTCTTGGACATGCCAGGGACCATGCCAACTGTTTAACAGGGCAGACACCTAAGTGCCAGTGCCCAGACCCATAGCCTGGTGCTGTTTGTTTCACTAGCCCAGATGCAGCCTGCCTGTTTGGCTTCCTTCAAGGAGGATGGTAAGAAAGACTGGAGCCAGAAGGGTTTATTATGCCTATAATACAAGCAGCAGAAGAAATTGTTTCCATGACTTATTCTCCTCTGTGGCATTCAGCTATAAATGATCAGTCCCACTTACAAGCTCCTCTTGGAGGGACCCAACCACCATTGAATTCAGCAAATATTTAGCAGCACACAGAAATGTGGTTGGGACATAAATGTTCTTGGTACCCAAAGGGTATATTTAAATGGCTGTGGGCAGCCTGTGTTCAGCGTGCAGCACATATATCTGCTTTATACACAGCCTGCCAGGGCACAATTCAAGGTTCACCCACTTACCAGGTGAGCTCTGGGTCTTTGTGTGCCTCAGAGCTGTTCTCTGGATGAGCTTGCACTGCTCTCACGTATGGGGGACTGCATGTACAATCTACTCTCTGCTCTGGCTGAATTGCTAGGCTATGAAACAAGCCCAGAGTCACCCAAATCTGACATTAATCTACTGAAAGCAGTCTATTGCTGCCACTTTCCAGCAGATAAAAAACTATTTGCTGATAAAAATAACCCTCAGAGTGTAATGGTAAAAAAAAAGAAAAATGAAGTAACTGGAAAGAATTTTATAAAGATCTTTTCCTTTTCAAGCAATGATTTTGCCTTTGCTTCTCTGTTTCCCAGGTGGTATTTTAAAGCTCTGAGCAGAAAAGATGCTGAACGGCTGCTGTTGTCTTCTGGTAACAAAGTTGGCTCTTTCCTTGTCCGAGAGAGTGAAACCAGTAAAGGTGAGATCTGCAGAGCAAGGATAACTCCTCATTATTGCCATGGCTGGGAAGATCCTTCAGACCCTAGCCGTGAGTTTGGCTGTGTCAGTGGTTCTTAGGTCTGGCTCAGCAGAACATTGCTTGCAAGGCTCAGGAGGGCTGTAGAACTGTGCTGAGGGTTTGGAGGGCAAAGATTTGCTCATAGTGCTACTTGTGTGTGTAGTTCAGGCTGCGGGAAGGGTGGCTCTTGCCACCACAGGTTGTGGCAGAGATGCAGGAGCATCTCTGATAAGCAGGAAAGACTGAAGAAATGGTATTTTTTTGGCAGATAGATATTCTTTAATGCACTCTGGAAGAAGCTTTTCTCCTGTTTGCAGCAGAAGCTTGCAGGATTTTGGGAAAGCTCTTTTGGTAGAACATTTTCCCAGTAGAAACAAGTTTTTCCTGATAGTCTGTAGCAGGGGGAATTGATGCAAACCAGAACTTTCGGAAGCAGACGGGCTGAAGCAGAAAAGGTGGAATTCATCCACTTTCTTTCCATACAAAGACATGACTCAATGAGGATGGAGAGGACAGAGCATTGTGGTCACTTCTCTTGGGCAGTGGACGCAGTTATTAACCATACTAATTAACTGTGTAATTGCGGTTTCTTTGTTCTGTGCTGTTAATCTGAGGACAGTCTGGAAGCTAGTTTAGGTTGTCCCTCCAGTGCATGGAGCACTGCCAAGTCCACCACTAAGCCATGTCCCTAGATGTCACATCTACATGTCTTTTAAATCACCCTATGGATGGTGACTCAACCATCACACTTAGAAACAAGTCTCTTCTGTGTTTCCTGACTGAATGTTCCCTAAAAATTCTGAAAGCTGCAAATCCTCATGGAAAGCATCCTTCTTACTTGGCATCAGTGTTAGGTTAGACCTAGGTCAGGTTAGAGCCAGTCTTCAGTCACTGGTCTCTGCTGTCCAGAAGCAGACTTAGCTGGAGGCATGTGATACTCTGCATTAGCAGATGTGGCCTGTTCCACTCCATGAAAATCCAGTGTTAGTCCTAAATGGTGAGAGGTCATCTCTGCTCTGAAATACGAGTCTCACCTGTGTCTTGTCTGATATCTAGTATTCTGTCTTAAAATATGGCTGTTATTCCTTCAAACACCTCATCGTTTGAATCATCCTATGCGATCAGCTATTACCTGAATACCCTGTGCTTTAGACTACCTGAATGGCCATGGTGACACCATTTGATCTGCCTTAACCACAGCTTCCTCCTTTCTAAAGAGAAGGGGAAAAAGAGAAACCCCTTTTCCAAATGTGCCATGAAGTCGAGATCACTAATGTAAAGCATCTGTGACCTACCATGAGATGTCCAGAGCAAAGCCATGCCTGGCCTTCGAGCTCCACAGGTTCTTCCTGTTTTCCTCCTCCACAATCTATATTTTCGTTCACTTTGCACCAGCAACACTTGACCTTCAGGGCTGAGCACTGACTTGAGCTAAGGGCAGTATCCCCTGTGGCTGTATGCATTGCATGGTGGTTGTCTCATATTGGTTTGTCTCAGCCACAGTGGGACGCATTCTGCACCCTGCCTAAGAGCAGCACCTATTCATAACCCACCCCAAGCAATGTCTCATTTTGCTAATGATGAAAGACACACAAATTCTGCAACCTGGAGCCTTTGCTTTCAGCCATCCTTTCCAGAGGCCATTAAAGGCTCATTCAGCATCTGGGAAGATTGGTCCTTGTCAAGAGAGTGCGGGAAGCAGTGTAACCATGGGCAGAGAGATAGCCTTGATGAAGCTACTGGAAATACACAAATCTTCCCCTCAGTAATACTCGTTCTGAAACCTGCAGGAGCAGTCACACTGATGTGCCGAGCCACAAAGCCCTGGCAAGCAGCAAGACTGCTGTGTCCATGCTCCCAGCAGGAGAGGTCTCAGAGCTCAGCTGCTGCATTCAGCTGAGCTCCTGTGTTTCCCGTAAGGAAGGAGTTAAGACCCTGATGAGACCTCTATGAGCAGGAGATGCCCCACATGCTGGGACTTGGCCTGAGATGCAGGCGTCAAAATGCAGATACCTCACATATCAGGCAGTTGCCTGAACTCCCACCATAGCCAGTGGGGCTTTATTTGGTTGCCAAAACCTGAACATCTTAGGGTCATCTCCAGGTTCTCCACCACGAGATGTGGTTTTGCACCATATCTACCAAGCCCATGCAGATGTCCCAGAGCACCTCAAGCAGTACCTGCCTCATATGTTTAGGTGACTGAGTCAACCCTCAGTATGATGCAAGTTTAATCTCACCCTTTACATCTTCTGTTGTTCTTTTCCACACAAAACCTGCCACACTTTGAAAACAAAGAACCTGAGACCCCTTGCAGGATGGTTCAGGGATCCCAGACCCAGAAGAGGAGGGTCTGACACCGAGAGCTGCCCAGGGCAAGATTTGTTTGTGCTCTGAGCTGGTGTCAAGCCCAGGTCTGTGCCAGGATGCGATGCAGGGCTGTGGGACAGGAGAATGTCCCTTCTGGCTGAGGAGCTAGAACTCCTTCTGGCTATCACTGGGGGAGATTAGGAGTCCTGCTATCTGTCTGGCTCCACTTAACATCCTTCTTTTGCTGCTGTTCCTGGGAGAAGAGAGAATTGAAGCTTTTCAGCCGCAGTGCTTTGGCTTTAGACTGCAGCTCCCAAGGGAACTGTAGTGGTCCACGGTGAATGACAGGGAAAGCTTTACCACACTCACTCCAGCAAACTAAACTCTGACCTGGGGTAAAATACAGTCATTAACTCTAATGACAGAATAAGTATTCACTTTGGGAGTAGACAGCTGATAGATTGGGCTGGAAGGTGTCTGGAGCTCCTGTCACTGCTGCATGCTGTGCATCACTGGTTTGAAAGATGCAAGGGGGTTTAAAGAGTCAGTGGGGTCTGGAAAAGTGGAGAGCAGGCATTTTGGGTGCAACCACACTACCAAACAGGCCAGGTCTCCTCTCCTCCTGACTCTCAGCCCCAATGCACTCCCTTGTACATGTGTTAGTTCTTAATTCTTGCCCTCCCTTCTGCAGTGCTGTGTGTTGTCAGTGCAGCTGGGCTCACACCATGTTTGGCTCTTTCCTCTACCAGGCCTTGCCTTGTAAAAATCAAACACATACCCTAAGCCACATCCCAGGCATGCAAAGCACCCTCCTGGACTTGTGCCATAGAAGCTCAGATCTGATGGGCTGCACATTATTTCAATCATTTTGAAATTAAAATAATATCAGCATCCTCAACAACAATCTTCTCTTCTCCAGGCTGTTCAGCCTGGAGAAGAGAAGGCTGCATGCATACCTCATAGCAGCCTTACAGTATTTGAAGGGGGCCTACAAGGATGCTGGAGAGGGACTCTTCACTAGGGATTGTAGTGACAAGACAAGGGGTAATGGGTTAAAACTTAAACAGGGGAAGTTTAGATTGGATATAAGGAAGAAGTTCTTTACTGTAAGGTTGGTGAGGCACTGGAATGGGTTGCCCAGGGAAGTTGTAAATGCTCCATCCCTGGCAGTGTTCAAGGCCAGGTTGGACAGAGCCTTGGGTAACATGGTTTAGTGGGAAGTGTCCCTGCCCATGGCAGGGGGATTGGAACCAGATGATTTTAAGGTCCCATCCAACCCTAACTATTCTATGATTCTATGAATAATGGACATTAATAACAATAATAATTTTGCACACATAGGTACCACAGAGGAGCCAGAGGGGGTCTGGGACCAAGTGCTAGGGAGTGTGAATGCTGCTGATCAACTCTAGCAGGACTTGTGCTGAGCAATGTGGACATTAGCCCTAGCAGCATCTTTCTGCACCCACTAGGGACCAAAGATCACTCCCTGGGAAAGACATACTTAGCTCAGTAGTGACCTTTGGTCACTGAGACATAGGCTGCAAAAATGAGCCATTCTTTTACCCTTCCCTTGACTTTTTTCTTGCCCATTGAAGATTCTTCATGGATGCATCTAAGACATTGAGCTGCAGGACCGATAGAGCCAAAAGGGCTTCTCAGTTTGTCTTCTGCCTGACACTCATGGTGAAGGAAAGAATTTCATGCTCTGCTGAGAAGGACCCCACCATGCTGAGGCTGTATGCTTCCTGTCTTCAGGTTCCCTGGAACTGCATTTAATCCAGCAGATCTTCTATGAACATTATGCCACCTTATCTCCCAATCTGGTCTCTGTCCCCCAGATGACTCTTAGTGGTTGGAAAAATTTTAGACCATCCCAAATTCTGCTTGTAAAGATTTATAATCATAGAATCATGGAATAGTTAGGGTTGGAAAGGACCTTCAGATCATCAAGGTCCAACCCCACTGCCATGTGCAGGGACACCTCACACTAAACCGTGTCACCCAAGGCTCTGTCCAACCTGGCCTTCAACTCCGCCAGGGATGGAGCATTCACAATTTCCCTGGGCAACCCGTTCCAGTGCCTCACCACTTCAACAAAGCAAATATCCACAGAGGTAGTTTTCTTCTGTTACTTTTAAAACAGAGGTTTGCAGCCTCAGTGTAAGGAACTGCTGGTGCTGCTATGGAGAAACAGCAGCAAGTGAGAGTTACGTTTTAATGGATTTTCTCCTCACGGTCAGGATTATGGTTTCAGAGTCCCTGTGGAAGGCCCCACTTCTGCTTATGATCCTACATGACAGATACATACTTTTTAACATAAATAGCCTTGCCTTTTCAAGCATTAAAAAGGCAGCCTATCTACCCGGGTGACGTATTAGACTTCTAACAGCCCAGCAGGCTTGTAACAGCTTACTCCGGAAATATGATCCAGACAACGGGAAAAAAAAGAATCCCTGCTAAACTGCATTGAAATTGACACTGACACAGGCTGGAAGCTGCTGCTCTGTAGCAACATCTAGTGATGTTTTTGTGTACAAAACCCCCAATCTTATGGTTCAGATTATAAACCCATTACAAGGAGAGAATAGCAGGTTGGAGGGGCAGATCATTAAGCAGCTCCCTTGAGGTCAAAAGGCACATAAATCTAGATGTGAATCTCTATATGTGGTTTACCCACAGTCACAAGTTTATGGCTGAACAAGACAATTCTCCTGAATCCCCCTTCTGTACTTCCCAGGTAAACCACTGTCCTTGGTATAGGGGTTATAGTGGATAACAGGGTTACAGGGACCTTGGGTAAAGCTGGGAAGGAGCACATATCTCTTGACCTTACCTCTCCCACTAACTGAAGCCCTGGTTGTGCTGGTAGGGTGGTTCAGCTCCTTGTTTCTACAGGCTGGTGAGACTACAGTCACTTGTTTCATCCAGATGAGGTGATGCTGTTGACAGAGATCAGGTGGGAGATACAGAGTTGTGGCAGGACTATCACAACATAAGTATCTGATTGCTCTGGCTGGAGATGTGCTATTAATTTATATTGATTCCTTGGGGCTGTTGGCCAAGGGTTAGGCAAGTTTTGCTCAATGAAGCCTCCACAGGACCAATTAAGCTCTAATGAACCTTTATCTTCTCCACCTGTGTCTGAGAGAGGGAAGATTGTAGCTTTGCAGCCTGGGAAGGCAACAGCAAGGGCTGAGAGAGGTATCTTCAGCTGTAGGCTGGGAGGTAGCTGGTCCCCGAGTAGGGTTCTGCTTGTTCTCACAGTTCTTTCTTCTGGTTATTCTCCAGGTGCCTATTCCTTGTCTGTGAGAGACAGCGACTCTGCTCATGGGGACATCATCAAACACTACAGGATCCGCTCCCTAGATGGTGGGGGGTATTATATCTCCCCCAGGATGACTTTCTCCAGCCTACCAGAGCTAATCCATCATTACAGCCGTAAGCTGGGTTTGTCTCTTAGCAGAACGTGGGCATGTGGGTAGAGGGAGGATGGGCTTGCTAGCCACCACCACCACTCCATTGACTCCAATGGACCATGTGTTCTCCTACAAGCAGAACCCGGGCACCCCTGTCCTGCTTTTCATCCTAGAGCATTGTGAGTGTGAGGTCTATCCCCAACCCTGTAACCAGACAGTGTCTTCCATTAGGAAAGAGGTGAATGCTGAAGGGATATCTAGGAAAGGATGCTTGGGAAGCAGGGTTTGAACTAGCTGGGCAGGAGAATTTGCTCCTCTATGGCTCCCTTTGAGCTTTCTCCTTTCACTGGGTCCATTCTGCATCCCTTGGTCCCTATGGTTGAAACATTTGTGTGGTTGTGGAGGTTTCCCATGGGTTGACTTCTTCCTAACATGTGTAGATGGAGGAGGAGGTTAGCTCTGCCATCCCATTGAAACATCCTGTACTTTGTCCTCACACAGAGAAAGGGGATGGCCTGTGCCAGCGCCTCACAACTGCCTGCATATCCCTGGTTCCCCAGAGACCCTGGGCACAGGATGAATGGGAGATCCCACGGGAATCTCTGAAGCTTGTGAAGAAACTTGGCAGTGGGCAGTTTGGGGAAGTATGGATGGGTAAGTATAACTCCCCATTCCAGGAAAGAAATATATAAACAGAGGAGATGGAAAGTCTTCTTTCCTTAAGACAAGACTAGTCTGGTCATGGGAATCCTAAAGTATGAACACATATTTATAGGTACACATACAGCAGTAGATGCCATACTCCTGGGAAGGACCAGACAGGCTGTGTTTGCATTGATCAGTGGTTGAGCAAGGGTTTTGCAGGCTGGATACATGTGATGGGTGTTGAAATAACTATATACTTCTCTCCTGAGACGTGATCTCATTATTCCTGGGAATCCTGGGCTTGGTTGTAGCATCCTCAGTTACACACAGCAGGGTAGCTTGGTGACATTATCCCACTTTTTCTGCTTCCCTGTCCCACTTTATAACCTAGATCTGAATCCCTTATGCCTTCCTGCCCACTGCTAATCAGTGGCAGAGGAAGTGGGGTGAGGTCAGCTTCCTTTGCTGTCCTCTTTGTGGTCGGCTGTTGCCTTGGCAATTAAGATTGTGGACAGGACCAGGCTGAGTCTACTGGTGGACTGCAGAGTCCTGGCTTTTCTATGGCATTTGGATTATGAGAACATAATCCCTGGGGGGACCCAGGGGTTTCATCCAGAGTCTTGCAAGGCTGGGAGGACTGTGTGAGGATGGGCTCATTGCATGGGTGTCCATAACCCAGAGCAGGGATGGTCCCCAATGAAGCCACACAGATGGATGGTTGTGTTGTGTCTGTCCCTTCTCCTTTCATACCTGCTGTCTGAACCCTCTGGCACCAAGTTTTACCATGTGTTTCTTTATGAGATTGAATGCTGTTGCTGTGTTTTTCTGCTGCCTGATCCTTGTTGCGCAGCCTGATAGAGCCAGTAGAGATGCCAAAATTCCTCAATGCATCATTATTTCTCTACAGGCTATTACAAGAACAACATCAAGGTGGCTGTGAAGACCATGAAGGAGGGCAGCATGGATCCTGACGCCTTCTTGGCAGAGGCAAACTTGATGAAGAGGCTCCAGCATAACAAACTGGTCCGGCTATATGCGGTAGTCACAAAGCAGCCAATTTACATTGTGACAGAGTACATGGCCAATGGTAAAGAGCCTCACTGAGGTTTTTGTTGGGTTTCTGTAAAATCAGGTCAATGAGTTAGCTGGTACTCCCATGCATAATAGGGGTGGGAGGAGGGCATTGCCTCCTGTCTGTAAGCAGAAGGACTAAGTGATCCAGAAGTCTGCTTCTAGTACTGGGAGGGACTTTCTGGGCAATGAAATCCTGCATCTTGAGGTCTTATATTTCAAAAGCTACTTCACAAGACAATGATGCTCCATTTGAAGAGGAAAGTTCTCCTCTCCACTATTCCTCCTGGGAGTTTGTTTCAGAGTTTTACTCCCCTCATGGTGAAATTGTCCTTTCTTTTGCTTCTCTTGTCTATAAGGCTTTGAGTGATAAATGCCCAGCAGTTTGCAAAAGGTCTGTGCAAAATAAAGGGGGAAAATCACCTCCATCTGGGAACTTTCCTAATGGAAGATTCTCCAGCAGACACCATTGTGATTCCTTGTATTTTCTCTAAGATGCAGGCAGATTTGCTGCATATATTCTGAGAAGCACCAGAGAAAGCAAATGTGCAGACTTACTCAGAAGAGTTACAGCAGCCTTTCCTCTTTTGCAGGGTGTTTGCTGGATTACTTGAAGACAGAAGAAGGAAGCCAACTGAACCTCCCCAAACTCATTGATATGTCTGCTCAGGTCAGTGAACAGTCTCTGGGAAACAGGCTCAAGGCCATGATTTGTTATTGAAATGCTTGCAAGTCTGACAGAGCGTCTATTTCATGGAGAAAAACAGCACCTCCTGGTGTGCTTTCGTAGGGTTTCTCTCTCAGTCCTCTTGTGTTGATGTGCGTGTCAGCTCGGCAGTGCTCTGCTGGTCCTTAGGACAGACTCAGGGGAACTTAATGCAGTGCTAGAGAACTGGGGCTTGGTTTTTAGGTTTTGGGTTTGGTTTTGGCTTGTTTTTCTGGTTTGCTGAGCAGGAAGTAAGTTTGCTTCTCTTTTTACCAAAAAGGAAGAAAAAGCTTAAGGGAAAGACTTTCAGTGTAGACACATGATGGCTTTCAGCAGTTCTTCCCTCCTGATAAGGCATAAGGGATGTTCTGACACTCTGATCTGTGAATATTGCTTCCTATGAGAACAAACTTTGACTTCGTAGAGTTTGTTCACTCTGAGCATCCCCAGCCTGTAAATGTTAATAGCTGCACCTGCACTGTAACATTTCAGTCTGAAAGTACATCTAAACTCAAACAGGTCAAAATCAGAGAAACCCCAGACTGGCGGCATCTTGGCAACAAGTTGTACATGAAGGCTGAGATTGGCAAAATCACTCCACTTTGGTCCTAGTGGACAGAGTTTGGCTCCACTCCTGTTGACAGAGTTTGGCTCACCCAGAGCAGAGTTAGGATAATTTTGGAAATACTGGGAAAAGGCCACGAAGCATGGCATCATGGTTGAATGCAGCTATTTTGATGTGCAGATCTGGCAGCAAGCAATGTGTAAAGGCTGGCTGCTTGGCTCCAGCCATCATACAGACCTATTTTATAGCGTATTAAAAAATGGAGAATCTTAAGATTGGAGCAAACATTATATGGCAGCAAAAAATTTTCCTTCTTGCTTTAACCAGGATGAAAATATTTAAATGCTTTAAAGCAATGTCCCCATCTGCCATTTTTATTTTCCTCTGCACCCCTATGAAGTGAGCAGAGGAAGATGTTTCAGTACGTTTTCTCTTCACTACTGATAAGTCTTCCTTATCTGCAGTTTTATCTTTGTGAGAGATTATGGGGCCAACTGCACTCTCACTGTTTAGTATCTTTTCCTTAACTGTTTCCTTCCTTCCCACTTTCTTTCTTTACCTCCCTACTTCCCTCCTCCCTTTTTCACTCTTTCATTCCTACTCTTTGTTTTAAATTCCTGATGCTAAGCAGAATGGTCCAAATCCATTTGTGTTACAGAGCCCTTGGTTTTGGTGACATCATTACCACAGAGACTGGTTTGATGCATTTTGATGCAGCAGGAAAGTGCCATAGCCAGAGCAACCTGCACTCAGCTGTGGTCACAGGGATGACCCAGAGCAAAGCTGTTTGCCAACATTATACCGAGCTTTGAGGCAGCAGCAGCAGAAGTATGAGTATTCATGCTTTTATTTAACTCAACACTGGGAGCTGCATTGAGCATGTGGAGTAATGAAGCATTTTGAGGCAGGAGTATGGAAGTGTCTGGGGAGAGGTCAATGATCTTCCCTGTACCAGGCATGAGGGTAGTAGAAGTCTGATAACACGCTGGCTGCAGGAACACATGGGAGAAACCCATCCCAGGGCAACTTTGTGCACCCAAACCTCCCGTCTGAATCAAGGGTCGAAGCCTTGAATGTAACTGCACGGCATGGCTTGAGCTGGCCAGAAACCCACTACAACTCCCAAATAGTCCCCACAGCGGGCATCATCACTAGAGTTGAGCAATTGCACATGGACATCACCTCTCCATGGTCACCTGGATACACTCACCCTGCACACCCCTATCACATCCCTTTATGCTCTTCGCAGCATCCTGGCCTGGAGTAGCTGAACACGGACCGAACCCACACACCCCAACAACACAATAACCCACCGAAGCCAGCCACAGATCATGGGATAGGAAGGATTTTACCCATCCCTCAAGGCATGGGTGTCAGTCGGAAGGACATCTTTCACCATTCCCCCTCTCACCAGCACCGCCTCTTCAGGGCAGAGATTCCAACACTCACTAAGTAACTCCCAGGGGAGGAAGAGGAAAAGGGCAAGTTTTGGGCTATTTTGCAATCAGTTCATCTGCGGTGCTGGGCTGACATCACAGCCCAACAGACACACAACCCTCTTGAGCACAATTTTGGATCCAATAGTATCCATCAGAGTTAAAATTAGACATCTCTGGGCTGATGCACTAGATCCTGTGGCCAATCTCAAGGGTGCATGCTCAAAAGCATTCTGGGCTGGAACGGGCCCATCGAAGGGTACTATCTTGTTAACATCAGGACAGGAAATTACATCAATTCTTCCATTTTCCACTGAAGCAAACAGCACTGTGCTGAAGGGGTGTTGACACAGGTTAGAAACACAGCACTGGAAAGTATGTGTTGGTATCCTGTTTAAAACCACATGTAAGTCTAGATGCTGATGTGAATCTGTATGAAGTGGAAAATAGCTCTGCCCTCACCCACAGACACATAAAATCTTTAATGAGTATTAACCATTGTTAGAAGAGGTTGCACACATCCACTCACCTTCCTGATAAATGCCTAACCCAAATCTGAGACTCGACTGATAGAGCAACTTTGCAATCTTTGTTTTCTACATGTCCCAGCACCCAGCAATAAAAGATTGCTGTCATCATTTATACAGCTCATCACACACCAGGCACCTCCCCAGGGCTGCTCCCTGCTCCAAGGAGCTAAACACCACAAGATGAGTTTGGGAGCAAGAACATCCCAAAGCAAAGTTTGGAGATGGTTAAAGAACATCCCAAAGCAAAGTTTGGAGATGATTAAAGAACATCCCAAAGCAAAGTCTGGAGATGGTTAAAGAAGGCAGCGCATGCCCAAGACAACAGTACTGGAATACTGTCTATCCCAGTCAGATTTTGATGGATATCTGGGTGTTCTGCTCTAATGCATCCTGTAGGTATCAGAGGGGAGAACTGTTTTGTGCTCTGGGTCCTAGTCTGGATCCAGCACAGGGAAGAAAAATATAAAACTCAGTTTTATTGTGGAGGGATCCCCAGGGGTCTCCTCCCCATCCCAAAGCAGAACAGTGAGGAAGAACAGAGAAGGCTACTGAAAAGCATCTAGCTGTCCTAGATCTGGACTTTGCTACTGTAACTGAAGGGTGGATGAGTGAGAGGTTTTTTTTCAATTGGCATATTTAATCTGGGCTGTTTGTGATGAAAATACCAACTGGAGAGGAGAGTCTTGTGGCAGAAACCAGGAATCCAGTGATGTGGTTTCAGGTTTGCTCCAACTTTCTGTGTGTTACAGCAGACACGACTCAGGGCTGTAACTTCTGAGAGAGTGATGCTTCTGTTCTGCTTGACTTGTCTGCTTAAAGCTTTTGGTTGCCAGGTGTATACTGGTAGAGCTGAACATACACATACATGGGTATACCTATTTATGTATGTATGTATCTGTCTACCTGTTTATCTATCTGTCTGCTGATCTATCTGTCCATCCATCCATCCATCCATCCATGGAGCATGCATGTCTATGCCCATGGAGGCATATGAGCAGCCCTATACACATGCTCTGGTTTTATAAAGGTGGGTACCTTGTCATGGGGAGGTGACTGATGAAGGCAGCCTCTTCCTCCTCTCCTAGGTGGCAGAGGGAATGGCGTACATCGAACGCATGAACTCCATCCACCGTGACTTGAGAGCTGCCAACATCCTTGTCTCAGAGACACTTTGCTGCAAAATTGCTGATTTTGGCCTCGCCAGGATCATCGAGAACGAATACTTGGCACAAGAAGGTGGGTGTCATTCCCAGCATTGCTTCACCAGCACATTACCCTTAGCTCTAATCCTCCTGCTATGAAAACGTGCCAGGATACGGGGTGTCCAAGGGCTGGAACCAGGCACAGGGCACCCACCACTGCCAATGGCATGAGACCCAAGCCCCCATTGCTGCCATTGTCAGCACCCAGGCAGCAGGAAGAGCAAGACAGAGAGCCAAATAATTGAGCCCTATGAGAGGCAGCAGTACTTAGGGACAATAAAGAGCAAGTGAGATTTGCAGAAGGAAAAGGGAAAAAAAGCCTTTTGGCAGTGTCTGGGGCAGTCCTGTTGAATCTCAGGTTGTGTCACTGCAGAAATTTGACCTCCACTAACAAAACCTGCTGCCTGTGCCTACGTGTTCTCAGTGAGTCAGCCCAAAGGGAAGGAAATAGCAGTGTAACTCAGTCACTGCACTGCAGAGGGAAGCTGGATCCACAAATCGGGACCTGATGGCAGCTTCCAGATGTTCCAGGCAAACCCAGCCCAGACCAGGTCCCTTCAATAACAAAGGGACAACTTACAAAACATAGGAGAAGGTTGGCAGCTGGGCAGGTATTTCTTGTCAGAACAAAGCACCTTGAGCATCTAAACCAAACCAAACCAAAGGCACACAAAACCAGGTGTTTACCATGTTAATGTGAAATCTCCTTATAACTCCACCTGCAAGACCAAGCCCCTTGCTGGGCCGGAATACCTGACTGGGAGGTGGACAGGAGAGCATGGCCATGAGAGGTGGTAGCTGCTTTGGGTGGTGCAGAAGTCCATCTACAGCCATTTGACAACAGAGTTAAGTCGAGTTCCTCTGCAACAGCTTTCTCTCTGCGCTTACCTCTGACTCTAAGGTCAGTTAGGAGATCACGTAAGCCAGACTGCAAAGAGATGTTATAGGTCATCGGGGAAACAAGCAGAAATGATTGAAATAGTTTTACATGTTGAAATGCATGTATCATAAAGTATTTTGGGACAGCAAATGGAAAGTTTCCTATCTTATAAGAAAAAATAATCTATTCAATTTCCTTACCACAGAGTACTTTTTTATAGGAAGATTTATCTTCATCCCAGCTCTAGAGGAGGACAGATTTCCAAAAGTTGAAAATCTTCTAGTAGATGCCACTTATGCCAGACTTAATTGCTTTATTACAAAGTAGTAAAAGCTTGAAAATGTAACTTGTGTAATGGCATGAAGTAGTACTGTGAGATTACTGTGATTTTTTTAAGGCAGTTTTTATCCTTAAGAGGAGTTCTGGTGAAATCAGTATGATTCTGTTAACATACCCAAAGGAACTACATTTCCAGTGGAAAACAGTTCCTATCAGCATTTTTCCAGCTAGCTTTAATCTGAAAAAACAACTGCCCCTCTATCTACTTTGAACAATTTTCACTTCATAGATTGCATTTCCGAGCCTCGTCAGTCTACTTGTCAGAGAATGATGTGCAAGAACAAAGGCACTTATTTCACACACTGCATTTAGGCCTTCAGTCCTGAAAGTATATATACAAATAAAAATGTGATTTCCTCGCAGCCTTTAACACATTCAGTTCCTACTTATCAAAGGCATTTGGGTTTGAGGTTTTTTTGGCCTTAGCTGAACAGAAATGGCCATTGCAAAATGGTCATTGCTGTCCGCAGAGTGCATAACAAGAACTTAGTGCACAAAATAAAATGGGGCTTCTTTTGTTTTTGATAGATGCATGAAGCTTTAAGAACTGGAGAATTTATACTTGCTGTATTGTTTATGCACTTTTCCTGAAAACAGACTCCTTCCTTCATACAGAATAAAGTCCTACTGTCGTCCTCAAATAAAGCTGCTTGAGGCATTAGCTTTGAATAGCACAGACACATAGTTTGGGCTACAGAAACCCACTGGTTCCTCATGGCATCATTCTACATAAAGAGTGATGGGTCTGTCATAAGTGCTGATGGATGCTCAAGGGCTGCTGCAAGCATGGATCACTCCAGCATCGTACCCTCAGCGAGCATGGGTCAGCTATCCTTCCATTCCTGGCTTTATTCCTGAGATCCCCCATCACTAAACACACAAGAGATGTAAAGATGTTATAAGAATGCATATTCCTCTAACTTCATCAGCAAAATAGTCTACCTAGAGTTTTTTTAGTATTCGCATTATCAGTTACATAAGGCACTAAGTTTTTTCATTATTTGGCCTCTGTGTATTGGTATCAAGGAATGTTTATGAGCATATACATGTGAAAAAGTATTTTAAGATGAAATAGCCTTGATTACAATGGAAAAAGAACCAAGAAAGGCAAAGAGATGCTAAGTAGAAATAACATCTTAGTGAAAACAGGAGACAGGCAACAATTACCTCCCTCTGGCCCTATCACAGAATCATAGAACCACGGAATGGTTTGGTTTGGAAGGGACCATAAAGCTCACCCAGTTCCAACCCCCTGCCACAGGCAGGGACACCTTCTACTAGACCACGCTGCTCCAAACCCCATCCAACCCGGCCTTGAACACTGCCAGGGATGGGGCAGCCACAGCTTCTCTGGGCAACCTGTGCAGCGCCTCAGCACCCTCACAGGGAAGAACTTCTGCCTAGGAGCTCACCTAAATACTAGAAGGAAAATAAATAGAAGGAACTGTGATGTTATCTCCATAATGCCACAGTTCCTTCAATAAGAAGTCCCACCACAGCCCCCCGACACAGTCAACAACCTGCAGGACCCAGGGCTCAGTTTTGAGGAACAGCTTGCCCATGCCTGTGGGAGCAGAGGGAGATGCTGTTCCTCCACTTGCTATTTTGTTTTGCTTCCTCTGGACAGGTGCAAAATTCCCGATCAAATGGACGGCACCAGAAGCCATTAACTTTGGAGTTTTCACCATCAAATCTGACGTGTGGTCCTTTGGGATCCTCCTGACAGAAATCATAACCTACGGCAGGATCCCGTACCCAGGTATAGTGCATGGCAAATATGGGAGGAGTGTGTGTTGTCTTCAAAGTATCTAGCACTGCTTTATGCCTGAAGGCACATACCCAAGTGTAGACACGTGTGCCCAGACATGCACGCCTGTCTCTTCATGATGGGATTCCTTTCCTAAGCTCCATGAACCTAAGATAGATACGACTTAGAGAAGGGAGTCAGGGAGGGGACAGGGGGATGGAAGGGGAATTGCAGCCCTGAAGGGATGGTTCCCAACTGTGGCCCAGCATCACAGTCCCTCATACCCCTCCATCTCTGCCTGGATGTGAGCCTCCAGGAGCACTGAGATTCACCCTCAGGGTGATGAATAACTCCTATTCGGCTGTGTTCCTCTTAAGGGATGACCAACCCCGAGGTGATTCGCAACCTGGAACGGGGCTACCGCATGCCCTGCCCGGACATGTGCCCCGGGGAGCTCTACAACATCATCCTGAAATGCTGGCGAAACAAGCCTGAGGAGCGCCCGACCTTCGAGTACCTGCAGTCGGTCCTTGAGGACTTTTATACCTCCACAGAGCAGCAATACGAAGCAGAGCCTCAGCAGTAACCCACCGTCTTGCCAGCACCCGGAGGAAAACCAACACCCTCCGATGGCTCAGTTCAGGCCTTTCCCTTTCTCCTGTGTGCCACCACAATGCATTTGGAGATAGGGAATGAGGAGGGACACAAAGAAGGTGGATGCTGCCAGCTCTGTGCTTATCACAGGGACAAAGGAGGTGGCTAAGAGATGGTGCAGCTCCTTCTTCATCCGCCTTGGAGGCCTGTACCCACTTTGCAGAAACTGCTTCTGTCACAGAGGGGAGCAAACTCCTTTGTGACACACCTGGATACAGAAAAGACCCTCAGCCCTGCAACTGCAGCCCTGGGAAGAGGGGAACATGGTCGGGGTGGTGGTCCGGGGGGTGCACAATCTCCCCCCTCCTCCTGATGCCACTGGTGGCAATACTACAGCCTGTTTCATACCATGGGCAGGGGTGGGATCGTGTCCTGTCTGCACCTCCTTGGGCCACACCAGGTCCTCAAGCTGTGGCGCAATCTCTCCAGGTGGTGCCACCCCTCTGCCCTAAGTCAATAATAAACAACTGGATACGACCATTTCCCATTTCTTCATTCAGGCTGCAGGGTGCTCCCCGTGCCCATCCCAGCCCATGGATAAGAAGGGGAGAGGCCATGGGGCTCCACTGGCAGCGCGGGAGGATGCTGGGGTGGTACCGTGGGGCGGGAACGGGGGATGCCCGGGTGCGTGGCCCTGGAGCCCGGAGGTAGGAGAGATGTTCGTGGTGTGGCCACGAGATGTCCCTCCTTCCCCATAAATCCGGGTGGCGGCTGCACCAACTGCTGCGGGGGGACGCAAAATACACGTATTAAAATAACTTCGAAACAGAAAAACACCCTCCTTGGTTGGCCGAGCTCTTCACTGCACAGGCTCCTGATGCATCATGCCAGCCCCATGCCGGGTCCTGCTCCACACCCGGCACCAGGAGGGTTCAAATGCCACTTTCCCGGTTTCTGGTGCATCTCTGACCCACATCTCCAGTGGGAATGCCTACATCAGGATGCAGGGTGGTCTCCAGTCAGCAGCTGCACTGGTCTGTGGAGGGGAGGATGAAGAAAGAAGGTACAGATGGCACACTTGAAGGGGTGTTAGGACCACAGGAGTGAGCATCAGGCTGGGATCCAGGTGGACTATCATTCAGGTCATGGCGCTGAGCAGCATCTCCCCAGGATGCTTCGTGTGCTGATTTTTACCCCATAAACCAGGTTTTGAGTCCTTCTGTAAAGGGTGTTTTCCACAGTGTGACAAGGATGCTATGAGAAAGAAACAGTAGAGATGACCTGTGTGCCAGAAAAAATACCTGACCATCACGAACACATGACACAGAGTCCCCTGTGCACACCAGTGCTGCCTAGGAAGAAAAAGGAGTGAGAATCATAGAGACACACAATGGTTTGGGTTGGAAGGGACCTTGCAGCTCATCCAGTTCCAACCCCCTGCCACGGGCAGGGACACCTTCCATTAGAGCAGGTTGCTCCAAACCTCATCAACCTGGGCTTGGGAAGATTCATAACAAATCTGTAAAGACAACTGGGCTATTGGCAGCTATATTCAGTCCAAGGACTTGATCTTCAGTCTGTAATGCCCCTGTCTGTCACCTTTGATGAGACAAAATCCCCCACCATGATGCCAGCATTACTTCTCAAGTGTTCCAGATGGGAAAATGTACTTGTGCCTGGCTTCAAATGCTGTTTATCCCTCCTTCGCAGACCCACAGCTGGGAGAAAGAGCACGTAGGGAACAGGTTTAGCATTAACAGGAGGCCGAAGTCTCTGGAGATGGCTGGTTTGCATAGCTTGGAAATGTCATTCCTTGCTTCCTGAGGGGGGAAGGAGGTTTTAATAGCAGCAAACAAGTATCCCAGACACAGGAGAGAGGGAACTGTGTGAGGTGATCCAGCCTCAGAAATCTTAGATCCAGTGGAGACACCCTAGGCTATCCAGGAGGTTTTCACAGGGCTGGTGGTTGGAGGCCTGCATCCCTCTAGGACTGCACTGGAGCTGGATGGGAAACCTCAGGATGTGGAAAAAAGCATTAGGCTCCTGTGTTCACGAGGTAGGATTTCAGCCTCCTGAAGCATCCAAACATGAAGTCAAATCAACCCCAGGTGTCTCAGAGCTCTTTTCTTATCCCACCCATAACACACCTGATCTGCAACTGCCTTCCACAGCAGACCCATGGGCAGCTTTGCTCCTCGTGGAAGCAGATGAAGGTTCCACCACAGCATTTCTGTGAGGCATCAGAAATCACCCTCACATGTACCAGGAACTCCATGCAGGATTTGCAGTTTCCTATTGCTGAGATGAGTTGAAAGATATTTGACTCCTTGGCTTCTGTTATAAAAAATGGGATTGCACTGAAAACTGGATCATTTGCGCTGGAACAAACCAGGAGGAAGAGTCACAGGGTGTCTGCTAAGCACTTGTGCATTGCGTTATCACCAAAGGCCAAAGAGTCAAATATTGCAGCTCAATTTAGAAAGGAAATGGGTAATTTTATTGCCAATAGCAACAAGTGGCCAAGCCCAGGGTGGACATAACAAAGAGGCCGCAAGCTGTGCACACTGAGCACTGGCCACCATAGCCTTTTCTGTGCATGCTGCACAAACGTCTGTTGGGTGTTGTTCACTGGCATTCCAGGGGTTGGAGAGGTACCATGAGCTCCTTGAGCAGCCATGGTTTCACACAACAGCCACCAAACCCACTAGTAAAAGGACCCCATGGCTCTGCTACAGCAGAGGTTGGACAGAAAAGGACCTGTACTCCAGTGTCTCCTATTGACACGTACATCAAGGACTTCAGTCAGAAACCCAGGGGAGAAGTGAGATGCTACCTCCTGTGACCTGCAGCACAGGATGCAGCTGTAGTTGAGGATGTCTCTGGCCCCAGCAAGCTCTGCAAGAGCCCCTTTATCCCCATACCTCTGGCAGCCCTAGAGGTGTCTCTTCACCATGGGTGAGCTCCAGTCTTAGAGCAAGGGAAAGGTGGTAAAAGTAATGCAGGCTCTCAAATTCAGTTTGTGATTTGTGATCTGTCTGTAGCAGGGACCCTATCACTCATGCAAACAGCTCAGCTACAAGGACTCTTTGAAGCTACCCAAAAAGAGCATGATGTTTATTTTGTGCAGGCATTGGGCTGTGCAAGGTGTTTTAAACAGTTAAGAGGCAATTCCTGCCATAGACAGAGTATGAACTCACTGAATGGCCCAGACCAGGATTAAAAGTAATACCTAACGATATGGATCTTGCATAACAACCATGACATTCCTTTCATTTCACCTCCAGGTGCCAGGTGGTCTTTCTAAAGACCACTGGAACGGTCTTTCCAACTCTCATATAGAAAGACACAGGCCTCTGTTATCAGTCTTTGATACAGCTTTTGCATGCCCCATCCTCTTTCGGCTGTGCAGCTAATGCCTGGTGTTCTGTTGGTGTTGAGCTCATCTGCAGTAACACCCTGTTTGCAAATGGTTTGAGGCTCTGGAGGGAAGGTTTCTGTGGTATTTCTTAGTTCCTCACATTGCAGATTTAGAAATAGCCCCATGGCTGCAGCACAAAACCTTCTGCAGGCATTAGCTGCACACAGTGACACCTTAGCAAAGCAGAGAGTGCATCTGGAAACCTGGAGCCAGGGCCACGGGGTGAGACAGGCATGGAAAAATCAGCAGGTGCTCAGGGGTGAGAGGTGGGAGTGAGAGGGAAAGCAAAGGAAAACCAGTGAGAGGGCATGGGTGCCGGGAGCATCAGCACTGAGGAAATCAGGAGGCTTCTCTGATGTCTCGTGGGGTGTGAGCTCCAGCTGAGGCTTTGCCCATAACCCAGGCAGTCATAGCAAAGTGGATTTTCTCATGTCTAATAGAATACTAAGCATAGCATACACTATAGGCTTTCCTGTATGTCTTTCAGAATCTGGGTTCAAATCAGAGCAGGACATGATTAGCTGAAATGGAAGAGCAGAGAAGGGAGAAGAAGTGAGTGCACGGTCTTACCCATGGCATAAAGACCAAGGGCTTCTCAAGTAAGGCTCCTCTACCCTGTTCTTTCTTCCTATGCTATATTAACACCCAGTGACTGTGACTTTGGCTCACACTGCAACCCTGTGTGTGCAGGACTCATCCAGGGCAGAGGTAAAGATGAAAAGTCCATTACACTCCCAGATCTCTGGCTAACTGGGGAGCTGCTCTCCTTTCTGGGAAGAAGGCTGCCCATCACAGAGAGGTCTGCATACTTTAGCAGGGGACCCTGGTGTAAAGCAAAGTGGCAATGTATCAAAGCCATAGCCTGGGAAATATGCTTTTTCAAAGCCATCCCATGGTAGGCTGTTGTTTGGTCCTGAGCAGAACAGGCACAGCCTCACCAACAGTGCATGCTGGCACTGCCAGGAGCTCAGCACCTCTCCCAGGGTGATAAGTTAGGATCCCAGTGTCCCCACTGCTCCTTACAGAGCAGGGTGCCTGGATCTTGCCACACTATCACCAAAGAGCGAGGCAGGGCCCCCAGGGAAGGGAGGTGGTGAGGAGCCCTTACCTTGCTCTTTTACCTCCACCTACATACAGCAGAGCAAATATCCCCTGGCAAATACTGCAGAGCAAACAAGGGCATCAGTGTCCTGCCACACTGAGCTCTGGTCTCCGAGCTGCCCCACCAAAGGGAACAGTCACCACTTCTGCACCAGGACGGCCCCATCCCTGGCCAGGCAGCTGGCTTACAGCCGAGGGAGACTACATCTGGCTTGCTCTTCCAAACAGAAGTCTTGGTTCAGAGCATCCCCAAGGGCTGGTAAAGCTCCAGGCTGGGTCTGGAAAGGGTGGATGGACATCCCTGAGCACCCCCTGACTGAAGGAGAGGCCATGTGTCACAGACAGGCTGAGTGGGTACCAGAGAGCAGAGATGTGAAGCAGAGTCCTCAGCAAATCTGCCCAAGGAAAGATCTCTCCATCCCAACCAGCCACTCAGTGCAACAACCAATCTCTTCCAGAAGCCAGGGAATCCCTCCATGGATAATGAGGCTCAAGGGGACCATTTTCTTTCTATGTTTAGGGCCCATGGCTGCTCCAGAGAGGTTTGTGGGATGTGTCCCTTCCGTCTTGCTGGGCTGCAGGCATCAGGACTGCAACAGTCTGGATAATTGCTCACCCATCAGTGATTTGAGCCAGGTATTACAACAACATCCCTGCTGAGTTCCTTCCTCTGCTCTCCCAGGGCGCTTGCTGCACCTACCCCCTGTTTCTGCCCATGACATCTGCAATTGCCCATCACTGGAGATGGGCTGTGATCTGCCATGGGTGCTCCTTTTCTAGGCTGCCTCCAGACTTTTTTTCTTCATAGTTTCTTTCCCCGATGATAGGTTCAAGGTCACTCCCAGTTAAAATTAGCAGCTTATTCAGCATTAGAGAGAAGGGACAGCTCGTGGCCTGCTCGTGGTCCTGGGAGATGGCGTCAGGGAATCCAGCTCCCCTTGGAAGTGAGGGATCCTGTGCTTGATATCCTCACAGTAATAAGGAAAGGGATTGCAGCCAGCTCGCCCTTTCTGCCTTAAATTTGAGCTCCAGCTCTATACCTGCAAAGTGGGAAAGAGGAGCATCTCCCTGGAGCCCCCAGTTCCCACCACCAGCTTCTGAATGCCCCATTGTACCCAAGCCAGATGTTTTGCTGGTCATAATTGTGATAGCAAAAGAGTTCACCCAGCCTTTCAAATCTATATTAAACTCGTCCTCACCTGATCCCTCCCCTTGGCCTTCTTATCTTTCTTTTCTCTTTTTCCAGGGCTGGCTAAAGCCGCAGGGTGGAGATAGCAGAAAGCCAGCCATAGCAGAGAGATGGGAGCTTTGTTGTGGTCAGTCCTTTATCATCGGCTGGGCATGCTTTGGTCTGCCCACCAGGAAAGGGAATCAGGGCCCCAATCCCAGTTTGGTACATAGCCCAAGAAAGCATCCCCTGCCCTGTGCAGCACTGATGCTCAGGTAGCTTGTTTCTTTGTAACATATGCACCAAAATTTGGTCCCAAAGAAACATCCTTGTTTCCCTGATATACCAGTCGTTTTCACAGCAAATATGCTCACTTGAAGCTGTCAGGCACTCTTGGGATCAACAAACAGACACAAAAGAGGGGTAGGACAGACTCATAACACAAAATCTACAGGTTTGGTGGACTTCCTGGGGCAAACCCTGGATAACTGGAATGCTAAATACCCAGCCCAGAGGTTACTGCCTTGGAGAATAGCCACTGTCGTGAAACTCCTGCGCTACAACTCTCCTACACAAAGGGGAAGGGCTGGAAAGGATGAGGTTGAGAGAAGCTGGCTTTAGGCCCCCCCATGAGGGAGGAAAATGTCTCTTGCTGTAGCCCCAATTCTCTGTCCAAAAGGGTGAAGTTCACAGAGGTATTATGTTCCTTTGAACTTCAAGGAAATGGGCAGCTGAAAAGAAGGAACCCATGGATGTCTTTCCTCAGGGAAAGTCTGTAACATGAACGCAGCCCTTATTACAGGAGCTGATTACTAATGTCCCGGATGCAGAAAATGCTTCAGATTGGAGGACACATTAGACGACAAATAATCCAACTGCAAGGACCCACCACATTGAGAACACAGTTCATTCACTCGCATTTCCCAAAACACCTGATTTGGATGGATGATTTGCCTTTCATTCTGGCTTTTCCTTCCCAAAGAT